ATGCATTTTCAATATTTGATCAATAGATCCCCACATTAATATTAGAGCTTCTCACATGTGGGCCATAAATTTCACAAATTTGATATCGGGCTCAATGCGTTTTACAATCATGCCAACAGTTTGACTGCTTGGTGAACAGGACTTAAGAAGATTTTAGGAGATAGTAAGTTTTGATGTTTTGGCTCCACCCCTCAAGCCTCATGGGAGTAGGGACCATGAAATTCATAATCTTTGTTCTCTTTTACCAATAAAGGCTATATGCAAAATACGGCTAAAAATTGGTCTAGAGAAAAATTTGAAAAGGTTCACAAGTTAACAACCGACGGACGACGAGATGAAAACAGATAGCAATATGTCAACGAGTGATTCAGGTGTCCCAAAAATCGAAATATCAGAGAGAGAGAGAGAACTATGAGAGAGAATTTTATAAATCTAGCATCGTATTAACAAAATAGTATTGCAGTCAAAGTTTATACTCAGTACTTACTATGTGATTATTAATGTTAAGTTCCAAGAATTCTTGTTTTGAGTAATGCAACAATTATTACAAGTATCTTATATAGCTATTATTCCAGCATTTCTCTCAGAACTTCATTTAATTTTTACCTACATGGAATTTCAAAAATATATTGTATTTTCCGAGATTCGGATTTGTTTAAGTAAACATTATGATATGATTCCATATGATAGCCTCACTCTAACTCTAAAGGTCTCTGACATGGAGATACTTCATTATGACTAACATGACTCGCAGTAATGGAGAAGAAAATCATTATTTTGCATACATTTGATCCCTATTTTAGCTAAATTTAACGAGGGTTACATAGTTTGGAAAAAAATGAATCCACACAACTTAATAATATTTGCGATTGAATGAATCGATTCTGGTTCTTGGGAAAATTTTCAAAATATTTTACATGTACCTATATAACCTAATAGTATATAGTCAAGTGTAAAACCCCATTCTATCCTTTTTTATTATTTAAAATGCATATATGATCTGCCACGTTTTTTGTTGGATAAAAAAACCATTTCTAACCACAGACATTGGGAGTTTCTTTTTATCATACGTTTTACACATAGGTATCACATGTTTTACACTATTTCATATAAGAAGACCCACAATATTTTAAGACCACTTGTTCTTGAGAAGATTTTTAAAGACTTTTTCATACATGTTTCAATGTATAACTTTGATCCCCTCTTTTGGACTCGTCCTTACTTGGTTGTTTTTTGTTTTTTTTTTTACTTTTTTTTTTCTTATTGGGTTGGAAAAGTATTTGCTTTTTGTATAAACCGCTTTGAGGTAAACTGCCCCAACTTAGTTTATACCGTATAAATTGGGTAGCTATTAAATTCATTCCTGAAATATAGTATTGTTTTAATGATTTTATTATGATTTATTCATTTATGCAAAAACTACATCAAAAGAAGAAGCTCCTTGATGTGGCTTCCATTTCAAAATTTAGATTTATCGAAGATGTTATATCATTAACATTTTTCCTTTTCATTCTTACACTTATTCGATACATTTCCTTGCACTCGAAAAAAAGAGACATCATAGAGAGTGACACATCTGTTTTCATGTAATGGATATTTTACTATATAAGACATTAATGGCAAATTTTGATAAACTTGATGTCTTCAGCATTTCTATCGTCAACTTCCCCTCAGTTACGAACGAGGGTCGTTCAAAAAGTAAAAGAAAATGCAACATACGGTTTATCATAATAAATGTAGAAACAGATGATTTTTTCAACGTTTGTTTGTTTGTTTGTATGTATGTTGTTTAACGTCCCTCTCGAGAATTTTTCACTCATATGGAGACGCCACCACTTGCCGGTGGAGAGCTGCAAATTTTGTCCTATACTCGGCACTTACGGCCTTTGGGCAGTGAGGGATCTTTTTCATGCCAGCACCTACTGCGACACGGGACCTCGGTTTATACGGTCTCATCTGAAGGACCGGTCTCCACGTGACACAGTGGGATTCGAACCCGCGACGTAAGGATCAACTCCTTACCTCGCGACTCTAGAGCAACGCTCTAACCACTGCGCCACGCGGTCGACTTTTTTTAACGTAAGGAAAGTTCTATTTAACATCTCCTCATCACCGAAAACCGCATGTTTTTTCCTTTTGTCTTTGCAAAAAAAATCCACTTTTAAAATGAATAAAGTCACTTCACTTAGCTTGAAACTGTTTTAAACAAGATGTGTTTGTGAAACACTGATGCCCCTGTATGGCAACTTATAGCAAAGGTTTAACTTTCTCAAATGCAAATCAAATATATTCGTACCCAAAGTAAGGACTTGTCTCGAGAAATATACATGTGAAATATGAAAGCCATAGCGACAACCATTGAATAGATATGGAAAAAGTTAATTTTTTTCAAAAGTAAGTCAAACATCAAGGGCAAGGTCGAATGGTCAAAATTAATGGTGCCCAAGGAAAGGCCTTCTCACAAGAAATAAACATGTCAAACATGAAAGCTGTAACCCCAAAAGTTCAAAAGGTATGGCCAAGGTTAAAGTTTTTCAAAAGTAGGTCAAACTCCAAGGTCAAGGCCAAAGGGTCAAAGTTGTTGGTATCCAAAGAAAGGTCTTGTCACAAGGATTACATATGTGAAGTATAAAAGCCATAGCACCAAGATGTGACCAACCATTCTAAAGTTATGGCCAAGGTTAAAGTTTTTAAAAAAGAGATCAAACTCCTAGGTCATGGTCAAAGGGTCAAAGTTGATTGTATCCAAAGAAAGGTGTTGTCACAAAGATTGCACATATGAAGAATGAAAGCCCAAGCACCAACCTTTCAAAAGATATAGCCAAGGTTAATGTTTTTCAAAAGTAGGTCAAATGAAATTTGTGGAGATAACGAACGGTGTTCGAGCTCAAAAGTCCATTAAATATTACAAAATAGGAGCAGAGCAAACACGGATCTCCAAAAACATCAGAGGTGGGATCAGGTGCCATGGAGGAATGAGCATCCCCTGCCGACCGGTCACACCCGCCGTGTGTTCCTTGTTATGATCGGGAAATAACGGGAAAATCCGTGACAATTCAGTGTATAAATAATGGCCTAACAATTAGTATTAAAAAAAGTCAGTCAGCATTTGACTTAAATGATAGATTGTATTTGCTGACGTCATTGTATCGACCATAGAACTTACGAAATGAAGACCTTAAACGAGACTGCTGATACTCTTGTTTCATCAACTTGTTTGTCAATAACTTACCTCGTATTAGAAATTGTTCATACGTAGATCATGCTCTTGCGTATCGAATCAACTGAGAGATATAAACCCCATATGCACGTAATAAGAGTATATTGCTGCATAAGTAAGAGAAGTTGACGATTGAAAAGTTAAAAGTCATCACGTTTATCATAAAACTTGGTTGTTAGATTACCATTAACGTCTTTTTCTAATAAAATATCCAAATATGAAACAGATGTGTCAGACTGTGGTATCTTTTATCTCAATCTTACCGGGATATATCGTGTCGACATATGAATGAAAATAACAATTGTTGATTCTGCGTCATATAAATACAAAAATAACGCAGGTTTAAATGTCAAAGTAACCGCTGACTGTAAAAGTCAGCACTTCTTGCAAAAGTCCACTAAAAGGCATGTTACCATCTCTGCAACAGTGATGATGACAGAAGCAACTAAATCAGAAAATTCCTGTTGACCTTCAATATTTCAATATTCAGAAAGAAAAGCTACTCAAAGATGAAGATAAAATGAAATAATTCAATTTTGGTTGTAAAGCGTCATTTGATTGGATAAAAAAATTAGCTTGTATGGTATAACCTAGCTGTGTTGCATACGTCCACAATGACTTATAATTACGTCAAAAACGTATCAATCCTCTTGGCGTTACATTTAACATACAATGTGTATGTACTATGTACAATTTGAAGGCGAAGGAGACCTTGTATTATTTTCTACACTTAGTGATGTTAAATTAAATAATATGGAATGAATGCAATAGCTATCCAAGTTATCCTGGTATAACCTGGGTTGGAACAGTTTACACTTTTTTTTATAAACCGCTTCACAGTTTATAAAGCGTAAACTGCCCCAACCCAAGTTATACAGTATAACTTGGATAGCTATTAAATTCATTCTTTAAAGCAATATGAGCTGCACTTTTGAGAATTTATTTCTCTGTTGAAATGTTTTATTATGATAAATGTGTATGTATTTTAAACCTTTTTGTTCAAGAAGAGAGAAATAAAGTATCAATTTCAGAGTAAAGGATTCTGTACAATCAAACATATATATTATTTAAGAAATAAGGTATCATTTCTGAACTTTTATCGGGATGTAAATACGGGTTGGTCATGTGATCAAAACCGAGGGGCTTTATGGTAAATTTGATCACGTGCCAATCCATATTTAAATCCCGATAAACGTTTAATAATGATACCTTATTACTTATATTTACATTTGTGAATGATTTGTTACAAATAGTTGGGTCCTATAGTTTTAATCCATAAATTTATTTATTTTTTCAAATTTCAACAGTATAAATTGAATGTGTTGAACGCCTAGATCACTTATGACGCCAATATGAAATTACGTACTAATATGACTAAACAATCAATTTATGGTCACATGTCAAACCTGTTATTACACAGGTGTAAAAACGACTTGTTCAAATAGTGTTATTTAAGAGAAAACATAAATTTTGCAAATGTAAATATATAAGAAATCAATATTGTACAGGATGACAATAATGTAACTTTGCTTCAATCAAAGCTTATAAATAGCTCTTCCATCACAAATATGAACAACAGAAGTTTATAAATGTTCTTTTTCCGTCATTGAAATAGTTAATTACAATTTTGCAAAAAAAATTTCTGAAATCAATGTTGCAGCTCATATTACTTTAAAGAATATATGAGAAGTAGGAGATTATCGACATTTTTACCCCCCCCCCCCCCCCCCCAATTAGTTGTACACTCTCTTATTCACCATCAAACAATTATAAGATAAAATTACTAATATATCATTTTTAATTCTTAAGAGTTAAAGTAATGCATCATACTGATGATTTGTAGATTCAATATAATACTACAGTTCTTTTTATAAAGCCACTATGTAACATAAAACATTAAAGGTAAGAGGACACTTTGTCCTATACTGTGTTTGTGAAATTCATTGTGTTACCTTCATATTTGCTTTCAGGAAAAAGAAAGTAGCAGACCAATTATCTCAAGAAAAAGATTGAGCTATAAGTCTCCCTATACAACTTATCAACTTTTATTATACAACTTTGGATTTTTTATTGAAAGAAGTGCGAGCATTCTCACAGAAACCATCCAATGTAAATATAAACATAACTTTAAAGTAAATAATGTAGTCATAACACCCAGAACTTGAGTGGGAAGCACAGCTTAGACTTGTTACATCAATTATTTTAATATGCTTGGTTTTTTAAGTGGCTTTTGCATAAAACAAGGGATACATCAAATTATTTAGTAACATATTAGTTAAATGACTTTCAGTAACCAACACACCTACAATATTGAAACAGAAGTGTTAGTAAACAGGAATATCACACTGAAGTCACAATTAATATAAATTTAACAATGTAGTCATTCAGTTTTGTCAATACAGGCTTTAAAAGACACTTAATAACTGCACAACAGAAAAGTCTTATACATGTACATGTATATTGCAGCCATAGGTATGAACAATAAACAGTCTTGGGTTAAAAAAAAACCAAAAGTTTGTGAAGATTCTTAGATTTCTAATATCAGACATTAATTATATATACATGTTTGTACATTGTATTTTAACCATTTTTTTAAATATACACATGATTGATCATTCTTAATTATACATTTTCATGTAAAACACTTCCCAAATTTTTTAGTGCTCCTAATTTAAAATATAGTTATACTTTATCATATAACTGTATTGCTTTACAATTCATACATCATTCTTAAATATATATTTTTATGTAAAATTTACATTATACAAACAAAATGGAAAAATCTGGACAATAATGATTTAAAATTTGCCCACAACAGACGGTTTTACTTCGTCTTTACTGTGCAGCAGATTTTCTCTAAATTGCCCTGAAAATGTGTAGTATCTTATAATATAATTTGAAAAAATAGAAATGCAGTTATATCATTATATTCAACATTAAATAAAATGTGAAACATTATCATAATGCAATAGAAAAATAGTCCTTGGTTTTCTATAGATATGAACACATCCACTCAAATATGGCCACAATCCTAACAGAAATGATGATAATACTACAAGTTTATAGAATGAATGTCTATTATCTAAGTTTAATTAGAACTGAATTTTCCACTGTTTAATGTGACTGTCGTGTCCTGCTGATACAATGGTGTCGTTGTTTAACCAGCAAATTCTCGTTGGATGACTCATCTTATGTGCACCTAAAAATAGAATATTACATCATAATTACTTCTACAATGGTCATTTCAGGCTTCGTTTTAAGTTGAAAAAAATAAAATATTTTTGCCAAGGGTCTTAAATATTGCTGAGATTTTGTCTAACCTTTGATGACCAGACTACGTTTACTGTGAGGAGCTGTAGGTTTCCACACAACGATACCCTGATCCAGAGAACCTGAGGCAAACAAAGAGGAATCGGGAGACCAGGAAATACACGTGGCTCGAGCCGAGTGCGTGGGATCACTAAACACCAGCTGTAAAAACAACAGTTTGTAACAGATTAAAAAGAAAACTTTCCGACTTCTTATTTGTTATACATTAGTTGGATTCAATTTTTTTTAAACTTTGCAAAAGTTTCCCTTTATTATATACATGTAGCAAGTTTGTAAACACATGAAAATAAAATGATATCTGATCAAAATTTAATTTGTTTGATTTTTTATTTGCAGATTATTCATGATTCATTTATTGTGGTAATTCAAATTAAAACATCTGATAATACCACATATTTTATTTATATCACTTGTACAGTCATACTTTGTTTTAAATAATAAAATTGCTGATTTGACTTAAGCCAATACTGACCTCGTAATCTGGAAGTTTGAAGCACCTGACGTATCTATCGACCCCAGCTGTCGCCAGATACTCGCCATCAGGAGAGAACATCATGTCCCCCGCCACGCCCTCGTTGTCTATGGTCTGTAATTCCTGTAGGGCTCCATTGGATTCACTGATACTGTACAGATGAATCTTCTTGTCCTGTCAAACAGAACAAATAAAAAAACAAATATTAAGGTGCACCCTGTCCATTCAAAAATAATAACGCGTTGCATTTTAAAGGGAAATAACTCTTAAATAATTCACATTCTCACTGAACATGTGTAGAGATAAAAAGTTTTTCTTACAGTGGTTCCACAGACAGCTACCACAGGTCTACTGGGATGCATGGCCACACTGGCTGGTTCATAAGGCACCGCCTGAGAGAAAGTCTTAGCTCTATTCTGGAAAACGACCACCTAAAATACAAAAACAAAAGAGTCCTTTGAAATCAGACATCTTATGTGAATCATAGTTTGATTTTTTTTTTATTATCTGCAAAGACATGCAAGCTGGCTTCTTGAATTTACAATTCAGAAAAAAACTCTGCATACTCTCATTGATTTATCAACAACATTAATTCATTCTGTCTGAAATTGTCAGTTTGATTTACAATGCTCACATGTTTGATACAAGCCACTACCACAAACATTGACCCTGCTGCCAATGCTTTGGGCATGGATTCTAAGCTATGGGATTCTCTACAACAAAAAATAAGATAGCTTAATACTACAAATGCTGAAGTTTGTAAAACAATATGAATTTGTCTTAATTAAAACTTCAAAGTCCATGGCATCAAAAACATTATTATTTAATGAAATGCAATTAAAAATTTTTAACTCATTACAGAAAGAACCAGTACATTGTAATTATCAACTTGACTGAAATGCTATTTTATGAGGAAACATTTAAAAAAAATTAAAAATGAAGACCTACCCAAACTGTTTACTACCCACGTTGGAGAACTTGAGGGTGTCATCCATACTAACTGTGATTAATTCTCCATTAGAAATTACCATATCCTGAATCTGGTTCTTATGACCGGTACCAGTAAACCGGTCATTCTCTCCGGTTCCTGCATCCCAGTAATCTTACCAAGGCTCAGGAAATCAACACTGAAACTTCACATTATATTTATACCTATACAGTCTAGCCTTGTTAATTAGGACAGTTCTACTGGTCACTTAGTTACAAGAATAGTGTTTTAGATCTCTAGTTACATGTACATGCTTAAATATCTAATAAAAATGATACTTATGACTAGTGACTTTGTGCTGTTGTACTTTTGGATACTCGGTATCTGGTAAAATGTCTAGATATTCAATACTTCTACTGGTGACTAGTGATATAAACAAAGATATCTGGTAAAATGCCCAGATATCCAATATTATTTCTGGTGACTAGTGATATAAACAAAGATATCTGGTAAAATGCCCAGATATCCAATATTATTACTGGTGACTAGTGATATAAACAAAGATACCTGGTAAAATGCCCAGATATCCAATATTATTACTGGTGACTAGTGATATAAACAAAGATATCTGGTAAAATGTCTAGATATCCAATATTACTACTGGTGACTAGTGATATAAACAAAGATATCTGGTAAAACATCTTGGTATCCAATATTATTACTGGTGACTAGTGATATAAACAAAGATATCTGGTAAAATGCCCAGATATCCAATATTATTTCTGGTGACTAGTGATATAAACAAAGATATCTGGTAAAATGCCCAGATATCCAATATTATTACTGGTGACTAGTGATATAAACAAAGATACCTGGTAAAATGCCCAGATATCCAATATTATTACTGGTGACTAGTGATATAAACAAAGATATCTGGTAAAATGTCTAGATATCCAATATTACTACTGGTGACTAGTGATATAAACAAAGATATCTGGTAAAACATCTTGGTATCCAATATTATTACTGGTGACTAGTGATATAAACAAAGATATCTGGTAAAATGTCTAGATATCCAATATTTCTACTGGTGACTAGTGATATAAACAAAGATATCTGGTAAAACATCTTGATATCCAATATTATTACTGGTGACTAGTGATATAAACAAAGATATCTAGTAAAATGTCTAGATATCCAATATTTCTACTGGTGATTAGTGATATAAACACAGGATACTGATATGAGAGTCCTGGGCTCCAGCAGCTGAATAGATTGTCCCTTCACAAAGAGCCATGGCAGTGATTGGTTTATTGTGTCCCTGGGGAAAAAAAAAGAAAAAGTCAAATCCGAGTATTCTTTCATTAATATAATCATCATCTCATGACTATCATGATAAATATGCTTAACTTTATTTAAAGAATGAGTGGACTTAATGCCCTATTTTGGATCTTTTTGCGATTCCTCTGCCAAGCTGTAAATGAAATGAATCCAAAATATTTTACAAGCAATAGAAAGAGCTATGTATACAGGATTGTATTAGGTAGAAAATTTGTACAAAAGCACTGCCTTGTTGCTATGAATCAAAATTGAAGCAATGATACATTAGTGTCACCGTCCAGAATTTGATATGTACCCGGAGTGGTTTTTAAGTCACATAATCAATATTAATAGGAGGCGGGGCTATCGATCAGCGTCAGTGTCAACATTTCTCTCTCTCTAGAAATTTGTGTATGGTATATTATAGCGATGTTAATATGAAATTTAAAAAAAATGTGAGGACACGCGAAATTATAATAACATCTAATTTGTTAAATTTTGAAAATTGCAACCAAACAAGCTCCAAGAAGTGATTTGGATCAAGGTCAGGTTGAAGAATACAAAGTAACTGTTTTCACGAGTACACTAGCAGGTGGACATCAGGTGATGAATTGTAATATTGAACAGGTCAATCAAAGTCAAATCAAGGTCAACGCAGTCATAACAATGGAAGCGAGAAGTTTGTTTTGAACACGTTTTTTTTTGTAAATTTAAGTATGAGCGCACATTTGTGGGCTCTGCTCCTTTTAATATGACATTTTTTTGTTCAATATAAAACTACAGTTTTCTTAAGAACAGCCGACAAAAATGCGCTGACTACCGGTATGTATTCAGAGGATGAAAAACGTGTGACCCTGATACTCTATTGATATTCAAGAAATCTGTGGGCCCCATGCCTTCGATATTTATTTAGTTTTTCTCAAAAAGAGCGTGTTTTAAATTCATATCTGTACCACAAATATACATTGTACAGTTAAGATATCGGGGATTTATATGATAGAAAGAAGTAAGCATTTTATGACATTTTAATTTATGGCATTTTTTCTGGACACTTAAGTCCACCCATTCTTTCAACAGGAAACTCACAGTTTAAAATGCATTTAAAAAGATTTAAGAGCATGTATATCATCAGAAGGTATTTTCCATTTTGACACTGCATACCTGATCAGAAGAAAGAGAGCTTTGGGATGGTTATAAGACATTAATAATACCACAACCTTCTCACCTTTAACACTCACTGTGTGTGTTTAGGTGGAAGGGGGTGTGTGTTTATGTCTAAGTAGTTCTCACCTTTAACACTCACTGTGGTGTGTGTGTGTGTGGGGGGGGATGTTTACTTGGCCGTAGGAACTGGGGGGAGGGGGGGGGGCACGGGGGGCCATGCCCCCCCCAATAATTTTGCCGATATATAGATTACTATTGTAAACATAGATAATATGTGCTTGTGCCCCCTCAATAAAAACCTGTGATGACCTTTTTTTTTTTTGGCTTGTCAATAAATTTTAGGTAGTGCCCCCTCAACTTTCAACTGAAAAAAAATGTATGGCTGTGCCCCCCCAAACTGAAATTGCTTCCTACGGGCCTGGTTTATGTCTAAGTATTTCTCACCTTTAACACTCACTGTGGTGTGTGTGTGTGTGTGTGTGTGTACAGGGGGGTGGGGGGGGGGTGGGGGGGGGAGAAGGGGGTTTATATCTAAGTATGTCTCACCTTTAACAATCACTGTGGTGTGTGTTTGTGTGTGTGTGTGTGTGTGGGGGGGGTTATGTCCAAGTACACCTCATCTTTAACACCCACTGTGGTGTGTGTGTGGGTGGGTGAAGGGAGGGGGGGGAGGGAGGGGTTGTCTAAGTACACTCACTGTGGTGTGTGTGTGTAGGGGGTGGGGGTGTTAATGTCTAAGTATGTCTCACCTTTAACACTCGTCGTGGTGTGGAGGGGTTGTTTACGTCTAGGTAGTTGATGAACCCTGACAACGACACTGTGAGAATGCTGTTTCCCTGCCACAAACAACCCACCTGCATGTCCTCTACTGTCTTACCCATCTCAAACGTCCTACAAAGGGTCAAGACATTTAACAGGAGAAAACTCATAAAGTAATTCTATCTCAAACGTCCTACAAAAGGACACAAAATACAACAGGTGAAAACTCATACAGTAATTCTATCTCAAACGTCCTACAAAAGGACACAAAATACAACAGGTGAAAACTCATACAGTAATTCTATCTCAAACGTCCTACAAAAGGACACAAAATACAACAGGTGAAAACTCATAGAGTAATTCTATCTCAAACGTCCTATAAAGGGACACAAAATACAACAGGTGAAAACTCATAGAGTAATTCTACCTCAAACGTCCTACAAAAGGACACAAAATACAACAGGTGAAAACTCATAGAGTAATTCTATCTCAAACGTCCTACAAAAGGACACAAAATACAACAGGTGAAAACTCATAGAGTAATTCTATCTCAAACGTCCTATAAAGGGACACAAAATACAACAGGTGAAAACTCATAGAGTAATTCTATCTCAAACGTACTACAAAGACAACAGGTGAAAACTCATAGAGTAATTCTATCTCAAACGTCCTATAAAGGGACACAAAATACAACAGGTGAAAACTCATAGAGTAATTCTACCTCAAACGTCCTACAAGGGGACAAAAAATACAACAGGTGAAAACTCATAGAGTAATTCTATCTCAAACGTCCTACAAAGACAACAGGTGAAAACTCATAGAGTTATTCTATCTCAAACGTCCTATAAAGGGACACAAAATACAACAGGTGAAAACTCATACAGTAATTCTATCTCAAACGTCCTACAAGGGGACACAAAATACAACAGGTGAAAACTCATAGAGTAATTCTATCTCAAACGTCCTATAAAGGGACACAAAATACAACAGGTGAAAACTCATAGAGTAATTCTATCTCAAACGTCCTACAAAAGGACACAAAATACAACAGGTGAAAACTCATAGAGTAATTCTATCTCAAACGTCCTACAAAAGGACACAAAATACAACAGGTGAAAACTCATAGAGTAATTCTATCTCAAACGTCCTACAAAGGGACACAAAATACAACAGGTGAAAACTCATAGAGTAATTCTATCTCAAACGTCCTACAAAGACAACAGGTGAAAACTCATAGAGTAATTCTATCTCAAACGTCCTATAAAGGGACACAAAATACAACAGGTGAAAACTCATAGAGAAATTCTATCTCAAACGTCCTACAAAAGGACACAAAATACAACAGGTGAAAACTCATAGAGTAATTCTATCTCAAACGTCCTACAAAAGGACACAAAATACAACAGGTGAAAACTCATAGAGTAATTCTACCTCAAACGTCCTACAAAGGGACACAAAATACAACAGGTGAAAACTCATAGAGTAATTCTATCTCAAACTTCCTACAAAGGGACACAAAATACAACAGGTGAAAACTCATAGAGTAATTCTATCTCAAACTTCCTACAAGGGGAAAAAACATTCAACAGATGAAAACTCAAAGTAATTCTTTCTCAAATGTCCCCAAGGGGAAAAACATTTAAAATATAATTCAATGGATTTATTAATTTAAATTTAACTTCATAACTGAACTATTATTTTTAATATTAAATATGAAACTGCCAATATTTCTTGAACAGATTGTACCTGACATGCATTTCACAGTTCTTGTTTGTAAACTGAAAGACCCTTTAGAAAGATACCAGGTTATTCAAAATTTATTTAACCATTTTAATAATGAGAATACTTTCACTAGATGATATACATACATAAATGTAGATTGTGAAAATCTGAGTTAACATACTGAACTAATTCTCCACTGGGAACTTTAAATATTTTGGCCGTTTTGTCTCCAGACACTGTCAGAACTTGTGACCCATCATCATTGAAACACAGCTGTAAAGGGAGACAATTTATATATGCAACACCACAAATAAATTCAAAATTGTTTAAGAGATCAGGGAACTTTGAAATTTTTCTTGGATACAAAACTAATACTACTTTTTTTCTTTAAAGCAAATGCTGAAAGGGTTGATAAAAATAAATAAAGAAATCAAAAGAATGTTTAACATTTACTTCATAATATTTTACAAATTCCACCACAGCATAAAGTACATATGGCATAAATTCCACCACTGTACAGAATATTTACAGCATAAATTCCACCACTGTACAGAATATTTACAGCATAAATTCCACCACTGTACAGAATATTTCCAGCATAAATTCCATCATTGTATAGCATACTTACAGCATAAATTCCACCATTGTGTGCAGAAGGTGAACCAAGTTCTCCAATTTTTTCAGCAGTTTTTCCATCATATATAAAAGCCTGAGGTAAATGAAAAACACATTCATTTAATAAAATAAATATGGCAATCCTCCATTAAAAAGAATCTTTTATTTATAGTTTAGTTTTAAAGCTAATTAACTATTTAAAATTATAGTTCTTATGCCATGGATTAAACATACCCTTTTGTCTGCGCCACCACTAATAAATACTTCTCCTTTTGGGGAGTACCTGACTGCATTTACAAAGTTTGTGTGGTCCTTCAAAGTAAGAGAAAAACAGTCAATTCACTTTTTTTAAGTTAAAAAAAATGACTGCAAATTCCGATTGTTATAAAAACTGCACAGCCATCTATCAAATTTTCTACTTGTTTTGGACTCATTACTGAAAATGAATTTAAATGAAAACAGCCTTTTATAAGAAGTTTTAAATAATTATTTTCAAAGATTTTGAAGATACAGTGGATTTTGGGAAGATTAACAGTGAAAAAAGATAAAACAAATTTTTATGTGTATTAAAAAATCATAGCTGTATTCACTATTTCTTTTTTAACCTTGACAATTCTTATATATAACTTAAACACTAATTAGTTCACTGACATACCTTCAGGGAGACTTTGAATTTAAATGGTGGGCCCTCATAGAAGCAGAGGCTATTGTCCTCACTGGCACTGACCAGTCTAAATGGCCGCTCTGGACGGAAACTGATGGCATTCACTGCAGCACTGTGACCAATCAAATCACCCAGGGAATTCCCACTGTCTGCAGTGAACACATGAGAAAATCTGTAAAAATAAACATCAAACTTTGATTTGAACTGTTCCCAGACTTGATCATTCTTTCTTACTTTAAAATTTACAGGTAAATATCATTAGACTTTAAAGGTTTTTAAACTGTCTGTCTGCATGAACTTATAATTCCCCAAAAGAGGATAACATGTAATTACTAAATTAAAGATTTTGCAACAACATTTATGGACATAGACCATTTTTCTAAATGACAATCTGTTGCTAGTCAGTGATTGGTTACTTTTGGTTTCCCTGTCCACCTGCTGCAATCCTCTGACTGTCTCCAGACCAGGTTATGTCCTTCACTTCTCCAGCAAATGGCTGGTATTCATTTTTCAAAATGTGCTCCTTATTTACTGTATCCCAAACCCGAACTTTACCAGACATGTCTAAAAGACAAAAAATGCTCTATTAAAACTTATGAAAAAAACATAAAATGACAAATTTGTCATAAGAAAAATTCTTCAATGCAGAGAAATCTTTGTTACAAGACCTCCAGATGCTATATAGAATCCGCTGGGGGAGTAAGCTGCACATGTGGTCTGAGTGGCATGCTCAGTGTAGATGTCTGAAACTGCTGGATTCTGATAATGAAAAAAAAGGATTCAATCACTAACTAAAACAAGTATTCAACAAAATCACTATAGCCAAAATGTGGAGCAAAGTCCACTTGTTCAGTTCCTTACCTCGACATCCCTAATTATGACGCTGTTTCCATTGGTATACAGCATGTTGGCTTTGTTCTTTGGGTCTCCATTCAGGACCAGGGGCTTGCCTCTTGTTGTTCTTGGTAAACTTGCAAAGCACTTGACTATAAAATACAAATATACATTTACAGATTACATATTTCACATGAAACAGCCACCAAATGACTAGACATATCCAAAAATAAGTTCAATGATTATACTCTTGTGTCTTGAGAATTTCATTAAAATATTCAACTGAAGAAAAAGTAAAATAAAAGTCTTATAACAAGCATGATTTTTTTTAGTGTCAAAGCAATACATGTAGTGTATTAAAATTGCTAAAAAAAATACCACAGTATTACTTTTGAAGTAATTTGTCGACAGTAAAATTAAGACTAAAGTATAATTATAAAGATTTACAGCAATTCTATTCACATTTGAATATTTGATAAATTTAGTACCAGTAACAAACAAACTCTTAATAGCTATGCAGAAGGAAGAAATTTAAAAAAATTGCTTTGCCAGTATTCTCTGAAAAGTAAACAAAAAGGGAAATATTTGTAGTGACAGAACTGATGAGGTTTTATGCCAGAGGTGGTACTGACAACATAAAGTTCATATGCAGTCATATATGCAAAAACATTGGTATAAAATCATGGATATTTAAAGCCAGTGCTTTATCACCAATTACTGTAAACCAACATTTATTCACGTGCAAGAAATATCAATGGGTTTCTTGTCCTTGCTGTACTCATAAATATTTCTTGCTGTGAACTACTTATTTCAATGTGTATTTACAAAGAATATTTCCTAAGTCATGAAAATTAGTTGACTCAAATTTCAAACTAACAATGCATGAATAAAAGTTACTGTGAATAATAGTTGGTTAACAACATAATTTCCATGTGAGAAACTGACTTCATCTGTTTATACTGTGACTGAGATACTGTACATGAATGTGATAAGATATCTGAGTAATGGTTTGGACCAATGTTATCGGCCTGGGTAGATCAGTTGATAGAGGACCTGACTAGTGATGCAGGGGTCCCAGGTTCAATTCCTGGTCCAGCCATGCACTTTCTCCTTTCCTGTTACATAATTTGGTGTCGTTGATCAGTCCTGCCAGGGGCAACAAGTACTTGGGTTGTGTGTTTTTTTGAGGGCGAAGACAATTTAAGGAGGGAGGAGTGTAATGGTTTGCACTGTAGTTATCGGCCTGGGTACCAGTAGAGCACCTGGCTAGTAATGCAGGGGTCCTAATTTCGATTCCCAGTCCAGTCATACATTTTCTCCTTTCCTGTTACAACTTGTGTCACAATACTTATAGTTTCCTTGGGGATTTATATAGTAAACACTGGTGTTAAAAAAACTTACACTTCGTCTTTTAAATACTTTTGTTTCTTTGTTTGTTTTTATTTATTATTATTATTTTTTTTTTTTAAGAAAAACGTTTGTTAGAGTTGATGGGCTAGGTCTAGATAAAATATAAAGATCTAAAAGGGGAGGGGCATTCTATTGTTTAATAACGAAGTATTAAAACATGACACTTCTTAATCTGAATAAGCAGTATTAAATACATGCAGTGCATCAATGATCTGTAGCAACCATCAATGCTCTTGGCAACATTACTTCAACTGTTCAACCTCAGAAGCCCGAGATGTTCAGCTTCCGTACTGAGAAAATTCGAACTAAGTATTTTTGTTGCATGCATTCTGAGAATTTTAGAGAAAGCATTTCCTTACTTCCACGTCTCTACTGGGATCAACACCTTACCTTGTTCATAGCTCCCCATTTTCTGTAGAATTAAGTGAATTATACCAAGTCTAAACACACCGGCCTGTAATCCGGAAATAAAATAACCCAAAATAACGCATGCGCATTACACCAAGGGACTTCCTTGTTTCCATATATGGTAAGAGCATGCAGTCAACTTCAAATCGAAAGAAAAGGTCCAGTGAGTCATTTCAAAAATTAAAAAACTGAACTAATTGAGAATACATCCAAAATCTTAATTTTGTGCCTGTTGATTTAAAAAGCCGTTTGTTGGCAAAATATAAACAGTGCACATTATCAGAGACATATAAAAACTTTTTTATATGTCTCTGACATTATCTAAAGATTATTGAGACAAAAATACTTTGAGAATCAGCGTCGTCCAAACCATATAAGAAACAAATCAACAAATATATAATTTGAAAATTGAAATGGAACTGATGATCAATTAATATTGCAATTAAGGTTCATCATGAATATAGGTCAGTGTATTATTTTTTTAATATAATTACCGAAGATTACTTTCCCATCTGCATATGCAGTACTGAAATAAGAATTAACTTGAAAACTGCTTTGCTGAAATGACCCACAGGTGCTTGGGGACGGGACCCCCCCCCCCCGACTTCCGTACCCTAGAGGTTCTTCGACTTTTTATATCTTTAATATCCTTCTATGACATATTCACAGAGTATTACAATTGAAAAATTTAAAAATATGACCTAAAACTAGCCTTTTACATGTTTTATAAAAATTCACACTCTCTTATACTAAAAGTTCTCTTTTAGAATCAGAGAGTGTGAATTCTTACAAAAGGCTAATTTTAGGTCATATTTTGATTTTTCAGTTGTAATATATACTTTGTGAATTTTTCATACAAAAATATTTATTTAAAAAAAGTCAGAGAACCCTTGGGATACGGAACACGAAAAGGGGGATGTCCCGTCCCCAAGCACCTGTGAAATGACCCAATATGATTTAGTTATATCTTTTTAACAACAGTTATGCTATTATATGACATCATGGTACAAAAGATTCAATTTATCTGTATTTATCAAATATTGCTCCCCTTTTATTATGAATCTAGTGGTTAAAGATTTCATTGATACAGAAAGCAAGTTATAATTTTTTTTATTTCCAATTTTGGGACCAAGGGCATATGAGAACAACATCAAACAAAAATAATTTTTTTTCTTTTTTTTTTTATCAAACCAAAAAATAAAATAAAATGAAATAAAAGAACAAACAAATAAACAATAGAGAGGGCGAAAGATCCAAATGTTTGAGACATCAATCACATAAAAGTAACAACACGTCTCCAAGTAACACTGAGTACTTTAGATAATTATGTAGTGCATGGTTCTATATTCATCCTGTGAAGTCTTTTTTTTTGTTTGAAAACATTTACATATTTATTCCGCAGAACAAGTTACTATTTCATTTCATTCATTTGTCATGAGCCACATTAATTTATTCTTATTTGATAAAGTGGAAAAATTTTTGTTTTAATATTTTGAATATATTCTACAAGTTCTTTTCTGTGTTATATGTAAGAAATAAACATTATTCAACTGACAATTCTTCTTGTTATGATAGAACATTTTGTTCTGTTCCAATGGATTTGCAAGTAATAATCATCAAAGAGTTTGTGTCATGATTTGTCAATATGTTGCAAAAATTTAACACAGTCAGATACAGTCTCAATATAATACATGTATAATGAATATTTCTAATAACCAATGACAGCATGGTTGGAGGCTTTTTTACCGCCCCGTAGAAGCCGGGGGGGGGGCACTTTTTTTTCTGAGTATAGTATTTTGCAAAAGTAATTTTCGTTTCGATGCTTATCCCCCCCCCCCCCTCGAGCACATTTTGTTACTGTAAGGTAGAGCACTGGCAAATTCCAAGATTTGGACAGTTTAGGGTTTTTGCTTGTCAGATTTTTTGAGGAGGTTCCCCCCCCCCCCTTTTGAAACCGTTGCTAAGGGGTCTCCTATATATGTGTTTTCAAAAGAGCTTTAAAATGTTCTGTCAAAAACTGTAAAACCTGCGATGTTTTGATTACAAGCTCTTCGTTTTCTAGTAAACTTCTATATCAAAACTTGGGAAAATCTGAATTGCAAATCTTCTAATGTTGTCTACGGAATAGAATGGACCCTTTGTGGGCTAATTTATGTTGGCGAAACCAAAGGTTCCCTGAATAGAAGAATATCAGGGCACAGATTTCAAATTAAACTGGGCCAGCAGCTTCTTATACAAGCATTTTAATTTACCTGATCATTCTATTTTGTCACTGAAAGTTAGAATTGCAGAAAAGATTCACCATCATACTTATAGCCCATCACCATTTGCAAGTACACTTTTCCGTTGAAAATGAGAAGAATGCTGGATCAGAAAATTAGGCAAGATCTTTCCATATGGTAGCAATGACAATGTCAGTGGTGTTGGGAATTTTTCAAGGCCACAATTTAGCAATGTGAATGTGATCACGGGCACTTCGGGTATGGACCCCCCTTTCCATTTTTTTCTTTTTAAATATTGGAGCTCTCTTTTTATGCATCAGTCGAAAACGATATATTTAAAATCAGCTTATAGAGACAAAAGAGTTACATTATTGATAACATAGAGTGCACATTAGAATACAAAAATGGGAAAAAGGTGACGACCCCAGATTTTATGAAAAATGGTCCATACCCCAAGTGCCTGTGCAGTACACAGAGACGTAAGTGTATTCATGGATATCGCGGTCTTACAATAAACCTATTATACATGATGTCTCCTTTGATTCACTACTACCTTATGTAAATAGTTAGGTCTTCATCACAATTGCACCAAACTCAACTCTGTCCCTTTGAAAGTTTTAAATAGTCTATTTGTAAAAGTCTAGGAAAGTTAATTGGATTCTGATCATTCTTTGACACCAGTGTACAGGCTCGTATCGGTGATTATGGATATTGCAAATCATAGGCTTTTTCACGGAGGATAACACTGCTCAAACAACACGTTTGTTCCTCAAACTTCAATACACCAACGAAGGAATTGACATTTTGATATATCGACGACGTACTATCAATTAAACAAAAGTTAAACTTCCATTCATATGTCGATTCGATGTATCCCTGTGAATTTGAAACAAAAGACACCACAGAGTCTGATACATCTGTTTCATATTTGGATATTTGACAAGAGAAAGACGTATATGGTAACAACACAACTTTATGAACACGTAATGACTTAAATTCAACACATCATTTTCCCTTACTTATTTAGCAATATACCCTTATCACCTGCATATGGGGTTTTGTCTCCCAGATTATTTGATACGAGAGCATGCTCTACGAACGATCAATTTTTAAAACGAGGCAAACTATCAACCAGCAAATTGATGAAACAAGGATATCAACAGTCTCGTTTGAAGTCATCATTTCGTAAGTTCTATGGTCGATACAATGACCTTATCAGCAAATACAATAAATCAATAAGTCAAATGCTGACTGACGTTTTTCATACAAATTGCTAGGCCATTATTTACACACTGAATAGTATTTGGATTTTTCCGTTTATCCGATCATGACAAGGAGCATTCGGCAGGTGTGACCGTTCGACAGGGGATGCTTACTTCTCCATGTCACCTGATCCCGCCTCTGAAGGTTTTGGAGGTCCATGTTTGCTCTGCTACCGATTGGTAAAATTTAAATGGACTATGAGCTTGAATACTGTTCGTTATGTCCATATCTCATATAGTTTATCCTCATACAAATTATTTATGAAATTTCAACAATATAAATAAATTTTGTTTTAAGAAGCTGCACATTTTGAATTTATAGTTAGGTTTCACAGTGTGGTCTAAAAGGCGTAACAATATGCTATGTTTGCCTTAAGTTAGTATTGCCAAAACATTTTTATCAGTTGAAAGAAATCCTTCAAACCAAGCTTATATAAACCATGCTAAAAATTCACAAAAGAGCCAGATGCATTAAACAAAATACCGAGATATTTGTAAGACCATGAGTCTTTAAGTTCTTTGTTTTTGAATAAAAATGCAAGTTTGTCGATTTTGCACTTTTTTTGTTATATATGTGCAATATTATGTGACATTTTACATACACTTTGCAATTCAAACAGAATAAAATCATGAATCATTTTGGGAATATTGATTTTGCTTATTATCAGAGTACAATATCTTGTTTAAAAAAAACAATTATTTCCTTCAAATGAAAATAATGCCTGTTTTGTTTTCACTATTGATCAAAACATACATGTAGACTCCATATTCCTTTTACAAATATGCTTCAACTGTTTCGTAATTGTTTAAACATTAGATAAAATCTTATGTGTATTTTTTTTAATGTTACATGTACATGTTTTAATTTCTTTCGTTTCTAAAGGTCCATCAACATAACTTATATATCAGTGTACATTTAGCTTTATAATTTACAGCATCCATTTCGATGGACGTCAACAAAATTCAGCACGAAGTATGAAATTCAAATTATGATTTTTTCAATAAACTATGTATATATATATATATATATATATATATATATATATATATATATATATATATATATATATATATATATATATATATATATATATATATATATATATATAATCATTTCATACTTTAAATGACGCATCAAAATGTTAGTTTCAATTCACATATCTTTTTCTTTCTAAAAAAAAAAAAGCAATATGAATTTACTCAATAATTTTTGTTTGATTTATTTTTTAAGTCAAATATTTTTTTTATTTATTTCCGAGCATTTTCCTTCCAATATCATTCTTTTTATTTCTTTAAATTAATGTAATTCATTCGTATGAATTTAAAACAGAACAAAACAAAAAGTACTATTATACATAAAACTCACCATGAACTTTATTGCTTCATAACAAAAAAAATATCACAACTCAAATATTCCTAAAAAATTAGGCCAGGATATTGAACATTGGAGAATTCCGGAATGTTTGCAACTCAGCTTCTGAAAACACAATGGATCGCCATTCTAAAAAAGAAAAAAACACATACACTGTAAATACATATCCGGGAAACTTTACATAACCAATTTCTTTTCTGCATTTTATTTCTTACGGGACACTTTAAAACAGTTTGAAACGCCTTTGCGTTTCCGCGGAGCTATGTTTCAGTACAAATGATTCAAAACTAGGCGAAGATTAGACTGAAAATTGCAAGTGTGTTTTGATCACACAAATATTTTGATTTAAAGTGATATGTTCCGTATTTGATTTCAATCAGATTGAATTCAATACGTATTAAAATAAATTGTTTAATTATTACCATTGAGGTCTAGACTATTAGATTGATCAGAGTCACGTGACATGAGGGCAATGACAATGTCGTTGACTTGGGAGGCGAACAATTGCCCACAAAATAAACTTCGAACCTCCTTTTCATCTAATCTATCGTCCTTGTTTGAGTCGCCAAACTGAAATAGCAGGTCAAGGACGCCAGATTCTGTCGCGCGCTTCTCTCGATTCTACAAATTTAAAAGTGGATAAAGTGTCGTTTGCTATCCCCCGTTCTCTCTTTCTTTTTTGAACATGTAATATACAATATTCGATATATTTTAATTTTAGTTTCATTTTTGATTTAACGTAACATTAGTATAACATCACATTTCAGTTGAATTGAGAGGCGGATGTACTTTGTCTCGTAGCTAAAAAATCCTAAATAAATCAAAAGTTTCAGACCATGCAGTTTATTGCAAGTTTCATAATTAAATTCTTCAGAGAGAAAATTAATTTTCCTGCTTAATTCGTTGAAATAAAAAAAATGAAGTAAAATAAATAAATAAATCAATAAATCAATAATTTACTAACACTTGTTATAAATCATGTCTTGATTACTATCTCATACACTTCTGAAATTCATCAAAATGGAGAAATTAATACATAAATTTTTATCTATTTCATAGTTTCAATTTTTACCGTTTTCTCCCCCCCACCCCACCCCTTTTACTTGAGTAATGTAATCTTAAAGACAATTTTTACCCGTTTGAACTGCTAAGAAAAAAATCACTGACCATCAAATCAGCATTCGCTCTATCTCTTTTCTTGAATTCCAGTCCCTCTACAGATAAGACCAAAGCCATCACTACCATGACCGCCAAGCGCATCTTGATCACCGAAATCAGTACCAAGTAAGAAACAACCTGCCCCGAGTGGACAGGTTTTATATGACTCCTGTCTAACCCGGTGGTCCAGGGACATCCGCCACAAGGTGCAATACGCGCAATAAAGATGTTTGTTCACAAAATGCTTTCTTTTGAACTGTTATTATAAAATTGTCGATAATAGTTAATCACCAGCAAAATATTTCTGGCAAACATAGTTATGTACACTTAAAAAGAGTTGTAAAATAAAAGAAGCATCATTATTCACAAAATCTAATGATGTGAAAGTTCAAGGAATGATACCTTCGGGGTTCCTAAATATAGGAGATATAATCTACTTAATATTCATTTTCACCTTGACTTTTGAATTTATATATACGAACGGAGTTGTCAATTTTAGAATATACTAAAAACATTCTTTTTCTACTTTTATTTACGAGGGTCATTCAAAAAGTAATGCAACATACAGTTTATCATAATAAATGTAGAAGTATTTAATTTTATTTTTTAACAGTTGAAAAGTTCTATTAAAGAACTCCTAATCACAGAAAACCCCATGCTTCTTCCTATTGTTGTCACAAATGAATTCATTTTTAAAGTAAGCATGGTCACTACACTGAACTGAAAACTGTTTAGAAATTATATCTGCCAAGAAGATGAAAATGAGGGCGTATATGAAAACTGTGCTTCATTACATAAATATCTGAATAACCCATATTAAAGATATGATTTTGATATGTGGAAAACTAGTCTTTCACGCTATATATAGTTTTCAGATGGATTTGGAAATTTGAAAGAAAAAAAAGTACAATTAAAAGATTACAGTCAAACTGGTCGTTCGAAATCTGTAGGGGCACCAATAAATATCGATACTGTGAACAGCATGAAATCTGAAAATGCCAAATTTCCGTTGATAGACTTTGCTAAAATACGAAACATTTCATCGTCATAACAGGTTTTAGAGTTCTGACAAATGAAATAAATTTAACAATAATTCAATCAGATGGGTGCCTTATTTCTTTACAAATGCTTATGAGAAAACACACGTTAAATACGGTATGCAAATGCATGGTCTATTTAAAAATAAGCATTTTTACAAAAAAGATTTTATAAACTTGAGTGATGAATGACGAAACATGGGTGTAGTTTTTATAGCCGAAAAGGAATATCAAGAATAAAATGTGGAATAAAAGAGAAAACTGTCGTCCTATTATTGCAAAGAGAAGCAAGGGTTCCATATATGTTTTATTAGTTTTCTTTTAATTCAAGAAGTCCAGTAAAACATGTAATACAGCCAAAAGGAAGGACTATTAATAGTAACCTTTATGTAAAAAAAAATTCACCCAGAAAGTTAATACGAAAGTAATCAAAGGAAGATTGTACATTTTCAGATACATTGTATATCATGGAAAGTGCTATTCATCAGTGTCTTTAGGGCATCCCTACAAATGAGTATGCTGAGATTTTCTGGTCATGGGTAAAAAGACTTTAGACATGTGTAAATATTAACAGGGAATGTTTTGAGGTATTGAAAGTATTAATCTGCTTTACATGCTATTCCTATTTTTAGATGACCTTTTGCATTATTTATTGAACGACCCTCGTACCATTTTATTCCTCAAAGGTATTTTTTATAATTTCTCCAATTTCCATAATTAATCTTCTAAGCTATCAAGAAATAATGATAATAACCAAACAATTCTGTTTCAGCTAGACTCATTTAGGGCCAAAGTAAAATAGCTATCATGTTCTAAATTTTGTTTTTACTCCCACCTGGTAAATTCAAAATTTAGAACATGACATAGCACTTGATTTAGAGAGCAACTCTTTATTTTAAACACATTTTGTAGGATGCTTCTATAAACTTTTGATCAGGGCCCAGGAATAACTCGATATATCAAAGAGAAAAAATCGTAAAATTTCAAGTATACTAAGTATCAACCGAAGACAATTTTTGATTGGATTTTTGTTACAAAGTTTTATTAGGCATTAATGATAAAGGTATCATGAAATCTTTAATTTTGTTTTCTTTATAGTTTTAAAAACTGTTCTATGCTATTGCAAAGCACACACTTATTGAACAAGCTTATGTAACTGCTGAATAAGATAACAAAGAAAGTGGAAATTATCAATTAAATATATCGTGTAGATATGTGGAGATGCAGAATCTGTTTAACTGTTTAATAATATATGTAAAAACTGTATCTAACCCTAATCAATAGCTGAGTATACAAGGGTGGACATCATATATCAGTCATCCATATTCCCCTTAGTTTAAGACTTGATACTTAAATATTAAAAAAATTAAATATACAGCAAAATTACTTCTTTCTAAGGATGAGATTCTTCAAAATCAGATTTCAGTCTTTAAAACTTTTAACATTCCGTTTAACGAAGGTGAGTTCGATCTACCCTACCTATATCGGATTTCTAAATTTCATAAAAATCCTTAGAAATAAAGATGTAAAAGTATTTAGAGGCATCTATTAAAGGGATGCATTTATATAGTTCTCAGTGATCAGGTCTTCCAGCAATTTGTTGGAATTATACTCCTTTATTAGCCGACCTGTTTTTCTATTCCTATGAAGCAGAATTTATATTATTCAAAAACTTCTACATGAGAAGAAGAAAACACTCATTCTGGCCTTAAACTCGACATTCAGATTTAGTTTCATTTTTTGGATGTTTTATTTACTAGAGACGATGAGGGCCAACTGTATGACAAACGAGATGTCTTCAGGTATTCAATCGTAATATAATTAATTATGGATATTAAAATCAAATTGCCGATCATGTACAGCGCCTCTACAAATAGCTGCAGTGTGCATGTTGTGTTAGTTTGATTGAATTTTTAGCCTTGGAAAAGCATCAATTGCCTGTGGAAGGCTGCATATTAAGACATTTACACTGAACATATAGCTATTGAGCAGTAGATCTTTTTGGTGCCAGCACCTTCTGGCCTGGAGGTTATAAAACATTTTGAGTTCGTACCCTGTGCTAAAACTCAAACTCTGTACTCCAAAAGCATACTCAAACTCAACATTTTTATACAATTTAGAGTGGATGTTTAAGCATGAGTATGGTTTTGGAGTACAGAAAATGTTTTTAACCTCCATGCCAGGTTACTCGGTTTATACGGTCTTATTCGATGAGTTTGTCTCCATTTCCTGCAGTGGATTAATTATTCCAATTTACGACGTAAGGATATCAAATCGTTATTTATCGACGCTGATTCATTACTCTTATAACTATCTCAAACACACTGCGCCATGCGGGAGACGCAATGTGTAAGAAATTAAAAAATAAGATTGAATGCTCATGACTGATCATTTTTTTAATATTATATTATATTATGATTTAAAAGACTAACCTGAGCCATTTACATGTAAAATAGTTTACTGACAATAATAACAACTATCACATTATAATTTTGATATCTTTATTTATCTAGTTGAAAATGGTATTCCATAATTTATTTATTATTCCTGGATAAAATAAGCACATAAGGAGACCGTGTCAAATCCTTCATATCAGCCTCTGTGAACACCACTGCCCGCCAAGCTACAAAATAAGATAGTTCTTAGATGGCTGTGCATTCTAGCATTAAAAAAGAAGCAACGAACAAGTTACAACGGATAAGTCCAGGTAAATAAGGCTTAATTCACATATGCATCAATTCATCGGCTAAGGATTCAGGGACCGGAATTCCAAGAAATTCTACATCTTACATGTATTTAAACCTTTTGCATAATTTCAGTTTTTTTTGGAATGTGACGTTATAATACTAGTGAGTATGATTTAAATCCCTAAATAAACTGCGGGAAAAATGGGATTGTTTATGACATTTTTTCTCTTTGTGCCTTTTTTGAGTTCTACCCAAACATTTTGCATTTCTACTTTCTTACAATATATTAACAAATCGAAAAACAACGCTATAGATTACTAACATGCCTTATTGGCAAAATCTTAAGCATACCGAGCAATTTACATGTACCTACCCGCGATATCCATAGACAGGGAGCCATCAGGCTTCCGAAGTTTCAGTATAATGTCATTCACGTGGGGAGCGAAGGTTCCACAATTGAAGAGCTTTCTAACCTCTTCCTCCGACAAAAGTCCGTCCTTGTTAGTGTCCCCATAATTAAATATCAGGTAATCCATATCATACTTCTCCTCCTGTCTGACCTAAGGATAGTATAATATAATATTATTAATATTATATTATATTAAAATCGCTAATCCGGACGACAATAAGCTAATTTTTTAACAAATGACAAAGACATGCATCTCTACAAAAGGATTCTGTTTCGTAGGCCATGCGGTCTTATAATGAAAAGTTGACATCCTACCTTGATATGTCTCTCAACAGCTGTTCTCTTACTTCTTGTCAAGACATCAAACCCTTGGGTAAAACTTAAAATGGCTGCAAGGCTCACAGCTAGCATCCAGAACTTCATCTTGAAAGAAAGAGAAACAAATATCGACGTCTCAATAGCCTGAAAATTAAGCCTTTTATAGGCTAGCTACATCATTCAAAGATAGGGGAGATTTTAAAACGTACATTTATAGATATTGCAGCGGCTCAATTAAGATCATTTTGTTGATAACATATTACTAAATGTTTTAAATTACTGCAGTCTAATAAAAGTGAGAAAATGGTTTACTGTGTAGTATATGTATAATCATGTTCAACTATTAATTTCATAAATCTATGTTCACAATCTATAATCAAATCAGACTTCTTGCACATGTAGATCCGTATTCACTCTTACGCAGAGTATATACGGCGCGGATCTAAGAAGTCTGATTTTAATTAGATTGTTTATGTTCAATGGTGAACTTTTTTTTGGAGGTTGGTGCTTTTTAAAAATAAATGATGAAGATTTATAGGGTTTTTGAAGTAAACATTCTTTCGTCGAAAAGTTCGCCTTTTAGTTTACTGTGACCAACATTTATTTTACTTAGCTACACAAACTAAAATATTTTAAAAAAAAAAAAAGAAAAAAGGCTTCATATCTGTAGAAAATGAATAAAAAACTACACTCATGAAGACTGTCATTTATTTAAACTTTAATTTTGATAGAAGCAAGGTACAATTTCCAGGGAAGAAAATCTATAAGTTTTCAGTTAGGCTAAATTTTCAGCTGTGCAATTCAACCCATTGCTTCTGGGGTCGTCTTAAAGTTTGGTGTGGTGAACATAGCTTAACGATTGAAAATGTTTTGGTCTTATACACATGAATTTTTTGGAAGGGAAAATATATTGAATTAATGTGTTTAGTGAATTTCTATCTGGTGTTTGTTGTCTGTAGTTATCAACCTGTGCATTCTCCAGTATTAATTCATTCAATTAAAAATTGACTCTTCATCTGAAGATCGTTTAATTGATCTTCGAATGACTAAGAGTAAAATGATAAATTTTATATCCAATGATTCCATTTTTTATTTCATATTTTATTTGAATATAATTAAGATACCAGTTCAGTTACCCACGATCATCAAATTAAACGGCTCATTAATATGTCATATCTATTTACACTGCAAAGTGTCAATTAAAGAATACTGGTCGATGGAGGCAGGTTATTATCCCTTTTATGTGGTATTGGGAATTTTCTCCGAGATAAACTAGAATTAAGTATCTTCACATCATTTTGTTAGCTGACATACTGGTTTGAGTTGTGCAAGTAACAGTATTTTTGCTGCTGTTCATAAATTTATTGATGAAACATGTAGATTTTCTTAGTTGATATTTAAATTTTATTTGTAACATTTGTATTATTATTTTTCTTTAATTTGCATGACATATTGTATTATATAAGGAGAGGAACTAGTAAGTTATTTTAGAACTTGTTTCCAATCCTTTTGATTTAATCAATAACATATGTTCAAAACAAAACAGTTGTGCAAGAAACTAGGTAGAACTGTCATAATGAGTGCTACGAAATGTTTTTATGAGATTTGAGATTTGCGTTGATGTGTGATCAGTAGGAAAATGCTTGGAGATGCGGCTAAGTCAGGAACAACTTTTTTTAAAATTAGATAGTAATTTTTTTAGATATAATATGGCATCAAATAATAGAAATCGATGATTCGATCAGGGGAGAAGAAAAGTGATTTATCTTTTTCGTAAGATACCATTGTTTTTAACAGTTTAAAGCCTTAATCATCTCATGTCTTTTATTTTCTAGGAAATTTATTAACAAAACATTCAGTAAAAGCATTTGTTCATTAACAAAACTAATTATAGACTTCGTGACTTCAATCCTGTTTCAATCAAGTTTCAATTATTTATTTCATGGGCTGCTAACAACATCATGGCTAGCTCCGATCTGGACATCGACTCAATGTCTTCCCACTCTGTGAAGAGAAAAAAGGTAAATATTTGTAGATGTATTGCATGATGTATATATAATAAATTTATTTGATGTTGATAGTTGGTATCGCAATTACTTAACTTTACGGAACTCTTTCACGGTGGAGGTAGGAAACGTCTGTTGGCTAAGTAAGATCGATCTTTTTTTTTAAAGGACAGACAAGAAAGAAGTTCTGGTGAAATATCTTCCTGAACAATCGTTAAACAATGCGAATAAAACTTCGAGATCTAGAGGAGCTACTCCTTATGTGTTATAGTTTTGATGATACTGTTCACTATTATAAACCCACTCTTCTTATCAAATTCAACCATTTCTTTCTGAAAATCATTGCTTTTAGAACCTGATAAAATACTCTAAACATTCCTAATTAAACAGCCTACTCTTTGGAGTTCAACCCTCATTAATACATTGTACTTTCAGCATAATGATTGTTCGAATCATTCGATTGTCAGTTATGCCCGGAAATCTTGCGAGAATATTAGAGCTTCCTCGACTCCGCCGCAAATGAGGGGCAGTAAGTTAGATAACCGAGGTAATCGCGATACTAAGGGTGCAAAACACAGTTTTATGTATGACGTTATCACGACGTAACTAAATGAGGGACATGCAAAGTGACCCCCATAAATAAATAATATGAAGACTTGTTACATAGACATCTATATATCAACAGAAAGATAAAATGGTGAATTTTATAAACATATACATATATTGCATTTATCACTTACTAATAAGAAGTATTTGACAAATGAAACATGGAGGAAATTGGGAAGTTTATGGGTAGTACACCTATGCAATTTTAGCTCCCTTGATCACAAACAGTGCAGAAATCAGCAAATATAAGTGCTATGCATTTCACAGAACAAGTCCTTAGGTTTCTTTTTGTTGTACTTTTAGGGTACATTTTCCAGCTTTTTAAAGAGATACTTTACCTGCTACTCAAATCATGCAATTCTTCACATGTGAAAAATGGGTGTTTTTAGAGTTATCTCTCACTATTAAAAAGTCACACAAAAATTAATTCTCAAAAAATATTTGTATACTTTTTTCATTTAATCTTAAGATAAGACTCTGCTTTATGCAAATAAAAATAAAAAAGCTGCAATTTTCATGTACACTGCATAAAAATAGCAGGGGAATTCCTACCCATCATGCTTTTCTCTAATAAAACCCCTCTGGATTTTATACGAAACTGTGTTTAGCTACCAAAGTATTCAATGTCATTCATTTTTTATGTTGAATGTCATTCGGCCAAATATGCTTTAATAGGCAATGTAGTTATATAATAAAAGTGCAATTCCAAGCAATCCAGAGGCACTAACGTCACTTCCGCTTAAAAAAGAAACATTTACGAATAATTTGTTTAATAAAAAGTGTTACCATTTACATCCAGAGATTGACTGTTGTCTAGATCACGTGACATTAGAACAGTGATGAGGTCATCGAGATGAGAAGCAAACACGTTTCCGGAGAAGAGTCTTCTAAGTTCCACTTCCGTCAATCTTCCGTCTCTGTTCAGGTCACCAAAGAAGAAGATGATACCATGGGCGTGTTCGCTACGTTTTTCTTCTTTTCTCAGATCATCAACCTACATAAATGTTTCAAACACTTAAAACAATTTTGGAGTTTTGTAAGAATTAAAAATATACCCTACATGACAGTAAGTACCTCTATCCAATCAATTATATCTTTGCTAACTTTTCCCTTAAAATTAAATTTTATAATTTTTTTTACTTGAAAGGTACTCACCAGTTCCTTTAAAACATTTCTCTTTTCCGATTTAATATGCTTCTTTTGAAGTGTTAAACAATTAACAAAACAGATCAAAGTAAGAGCGATATAAATGATGATCCCTAAGCGAGCCATACTGATCAACAACAAAAGGATAGATGGGTCCTGTCGGGGTATCCCACACCTTAAATCCTGTCAACACGCGATGGTAGTTTCGATAGCAACAGTCTAGAAAGATTAAGTGTCGATTAGGTGAAATGTGCCGTCCTTTCGGCAATTTTTATACGTCATCACACAAGTAGACATCAGATAGTGACCGTTAAGATGGACAGGTATTGATCACGTGTTTCTGGACGTTAGATATTTATTCTCATATATTGCTCCTTCTTTGTCTCTTTATTTTAATAAAAAAGATATTTTAGTTAATAATAAACAATTGTTAAGCCATAGTTGATTTCCCAACTGTCACGAAGAGAATAGAACTTCATATGTAAACAAAAATGAGAGAGAGAGAGAGAGAATAATAAACCAAAGTGTAAAGTACTTTTTAGAAAAACATACATGTACATTATCATGTTGTAAATTTTTAATTTACTAGGGGGAGGTAAATTCAAAATTTACAACATGACATGCTGAACAGAAGTAACTACAGAAATTCTTAAGGAAAAACGATTAAAAATTATAAAAGTATCAAACAAAATAAGATAGATGTTTCTCCAATAACTCAACAAAGCATGCGCACGAACGACCAACTCAGAAGAATAAAAGAAAATTCTAAATTTTCTAATCTTAAAAAATCCGACAAATTTTTTTTAAACAAATTTGAACATCCTGCCAGATTATCAAATTCCAGATTTCACAATTAAACAAAATTACTGGTAAAACAACAACAAACAGATCCAGTAGATATTTGAGGGTGATTAAACTGTCTAATTTTAAAAAATTAGCACGTATATACGTGAAAATACAATCCCCAAAGAGTTAAATTCCTTCACAATTTCTAAAGCATTGCTTTATAATGTAAAGAATAAATAAATAAATCAAGCAAATTTTTATTAAACAACCATTCCCCACGACAAATAAAGTCCAGACTTTTTGACATCATAGACAGCTGCTTTTTCAATAAAAAAGTACATACCTTGTCATTGGTCATCAGCAAAATTATTTTGTTAAAAAATCTGATTGAACTTACAAGTACTCCGAAGTTGATGTTAAAAAGATGCTTGAGTTTATTATTGACAATACATAAATCTATGTACTACTGTAGTGTTTTCCAACGATCTGTTGGAATTTCTTGATGGGTACTTTTTGCTCCCTGTTATAAGCAGACCTATTTTTGTAGTCATATGAAGCAGAATTTATTTAAAAGCTTTACATGAAAAGAAGTCTCTTGATTTGGCCTTCCATTCGACATTTAGATCATGTATATCGACGACGTTTTATCAATTAACAATATTCATGTTCCTATGTTGATTTGGTATAACCGTTAGAACTAGAAATTAAAGACACCAGGGAGTCTGACACATCTGTTTCATATTTGGATATTTTACTAGAAAAAGACGTTAATGGCAAACTAACAACAAATCTTTATAAACGTCATGACTTCAACTTTTCTTTCGTCAACTTCCCTTACTTATGTAGCAATATAAGCCTGCCATTATCACCTGCATAGTTATGGGGTTTACGTCTCCCAGTTAATTTGATACGCAAAAGCATGCTCTATGTACGAACATTTTTTTCAAAAATGAGACAAGCTATTGACAAGTAAGTTGATATTTCTAGGATATCAACAGCCCCGTTTGAAGTCAGCATTTCGCAAATTCTATGATCGATACAAAGACTATGTTAGCGAATTCAATATATCGATAAATCGAATGTTGACTGACGTTTTTTCATTCAAATTGTTAGGCCATTATTTTCACACTGATTTGTCTACGGATTTTTCCGTTATTTCCCGATCATGACAAGGAGCACACGGCGGGTGTGACCGGTCAACAGAGGATGCGTACTCCTCTATAGCACCTGATCCCACCTCTGATGTTTTTAGAGGTCCGTGTTTGCCCTTCTCCAAATTTGTTCCATTACCAGTATGGTTTAGAATAACACACGTTATCAACTACCAGAAAAAGATTGTTTAATGTACATGTATATTGAGTTAAGGTATTGTTCAAGACTGTATACTTGTGTTTTACTAACGCTTACTATAATATTGTGTATATGAAGTAATTACAGATCTGTGGTTCGTTTTTCCTGATTAATGTATCTCCGTATATATCTACTTTTCTCATGTTTAATTCAGTTGTACATTTCTTTGCACCTCATCTAAAATTTACATGGACTGAAAACTATAATATAGAGCATACAATAAATTATGTTTGAATCAGAGAGGACACTCTTTTCTCAATTCGCCACTTATGTGACATAATTTTTGTTTTTAAATAAAGCACAATTCTGCATCAAAGAAAACGCAGCATATTCAAGTAAAACCCGAATCAGGGATAATTAGATTTCGGGAAAACTAAACGGTGTATTCCCATTTTGCACAAATATTCGATTTGCTACGGCTGTTTTGAGTTATTCCTCTTGCAACATAATATCGAACCACTAAACCAAGGCTCTTTGGTGCAATGTTAATCGATGTATATTTGGACATATATAAAGTTATTCAATTATTCACACTTGACAGCATTACAAGTCTTTTGAAATCTGTTGTAATATATTTGAAAAACTTTTAACTATCATGAATTATTTCTGATGTAAAATAGATTGATCGTTTATATACACATTGAAAGTGAATTGATTTTTAAATTCCACTTAAAGTAACAAAGGTTAGAAATATCTCCCATGTTATTGACAAAAATAAATTTAAATTTGATCAAATTTAAGAAACCATATTTGAAAGTAATTATGTGATAAAAAGTGTAATGAAATTAACAGCAGATATTGCATGATACGGGAATATTACAAGCATTACACCTGCTCTTTCATATCATACTTTCAAAGGACAATAACAGTTATTCACTCTTTCATAACAACAATAGATTACATTCTAATGAGGTTTTTCTTTCAATAGATTCAGAATCATCGAAGCTGAAACAGTTTTCCCCTCACATTTTTGTAGCAGGTGTATTTTATATGGTCTACTTTGTGGTTTCAATACCCTCTCTGAATTTCCTTGTGCCTTAGGATACTAGGCCTAAATCACATTGTTCTCTCTGGAATAATCGTTTCAGGGGCAGTTTTCGCAACTGCTAAAAATCAGTTTAAGTGAACCGAATATGAAATGTTAAACATTTTCCAATTTACTGCAGACTGTTTTCCCACTCTGGTAATGAGGCATAGGCCTCGCTCTGGTTGACTTGGCTTGTATATCTGAATACGTTCTAGTGTTTTGTTGAAATAAAGACAATTGTTTTTATCTTCCTCAAAGTCATTCTTATAGTTAGATTGGTTACTGACATTAATTTATGCATTAGAAATGGAGTTAATTGTCAGTTTATTATACAAATATACCTTTTTTATTTAGTTGAAGACGAGGAAAGGTTTGGTAGTACCATTGAACAGTGAAAGTTTAATCGCAAAAAGCTAGTATCTTACGACTTTTGAATTAAAATGAAATACATAAAAATACTTCAATTCAATTTAAATAAGGGGAACAACTCAAATTCTGCGAGAACAATGCATTTTTTTCTCAACCTAAGATTTAGTGCTGACTTATCTAATTTCTAGCTAACATTGTTGAAAGTCTCATTAGTGACAAAAAAATTTATTATTCTTCGTCTATAAATCATTCCTGATCGCCATTGATGATACCCCGTCGCCATTTGGGGCTCAGGATCCCTTTTTTTCCATCGGCCCGTTTACTCGATTCCCAACAAATGACTTCCTCTGACTGTGTAGTCATTCGTTTGATTCCTTGGACGTTTCACACATGTTTTCTGACTTAACCTGTAATGTAAGTAGCGCTTTCATCGCACGCTAAATTATTTCTAGCGTTTTGGAGAGTGTCTTACCATTAAGTGAGCTAGAGAAGCGATTACTGGAGGTATTCCGTTTTATTGTCAGGGGTGGTATCTCTCAAGAACAAACAGAGAAAAGTGATTTGTCATTCTCACATTTGCAGAAAGCGGCACATTATTCTTACTGATGCATACTGAAAAATAATATTTTCATTCCTCTTTGCAGGTTGATGAGCTTACCAGCTTGTGTCGTTAGCCTTGTTATCTGATTTTTTATTGTGGGAGAATTTTATCAGAAGCTAGATAAGAGCGATAAATTTTTGCCAGGTTCATACTAGTTGAAACGAAAGAAGATGATACTGTCAATTTGAATTTAAGAAATGAACATTTACATTAAAATTGTTATACACGAAAGCACCGTAACTGTTTAATGGTGATATATTACACACTACAATCGGCAGCACTTTTTTTCTAAGTATCAGGAAAATTGAGGTGTTTTTATTATAAATTGTTATCTCTTTGTAGCCCATTATAGGGTCGTGCTGCTTTTGAGACCGAGGGGATAAAGTCGTCCCAGAGTAATTAAGGGACCCTGACATGTCTGTCCTCACGTGTTTGACACTGTCCAGATAAAAAGGCGGGAGAATGCTCTATCTTCTCCTCATCAGCCTCGCTCCGAAACAGACGAGTTTGGCAGCAAGGAAACTTAAAGAGAATGGAAGTGTCTTTCCCGCATATAATAAGGAAAAGATTCCTGTAAATTGAACCCTATGTGAATTTAAAAACTTGTGAATAAAGGTTTTTACTTCTATAAAACAATGTTTAAGTGATGAGCAAATACGCTTTGTTTATAAGTGTAAAGACGTACTAAGAAGTATTTCGTGTTTGGTGAGAAACCATTATGTTTAACTTCCAAAACATCATTTTTACAATTAAGAGTCTTTTATCATAAAAAAATGAGTGTATTTTTATTTGTATTTCATAAATTTCAAAGAAAGTAGAGTTGATTTCAATTGTTGGTCACAAGTTAGAGGATTTATTGATTGAGTGATATGTTTATAGGAGCTGCTCTTTTGTATAACGATCCCGACCTTTGAGTAGCCCCGATTGACACTCCAATTATCCATCCCTTTGCCACAATCTGATCCATTGCCATTCTTGGCACCCGATCTGTTT